TTTACTCCTCCCACCTAGCTTCTAACCAATGAGGGCCAAGCAGTTTCTTTTTATTTAACCAATGACCTTCCTCCATCAGGTGATGGTGGTGATGATGGTGGTGGTGATAGTGGTGATGATGGTGGTGATGATGGTGGTGGTGATGGTGGTGATGATGATGGTGGTGGTGGTGGTGATGGTGGTGATGATGGTGGTGGTGATGGTGGTGGTGATGGTGGTGATGGTGGTGGTGGTGATGGTGGTGGTGATGGTGGTGATGGTGGTGGTGATGATGGTGGTGATGATGGTGGTGGTGATGGTGGTGGTGATGGTGGTGGTGATGGTGGTGATGATGGTGGTGATGATGGTGGTGATGGTGGTGGTGGTGATGGTGGTGATGATGGTGGTGGTGATGGTGGTGGTGATGGTGGTGGTGATGGTGGTGGTGATGGTGGTGATGATGGTGGTGATGATGGTGGTGATGGTGGTGGTGATGATGGTGGTGATGATGGTGGTGGTAGTGATGGTGGTGGTGATGATGGTGGTGGTGGTGATGGTGGTGGTGATGGTGGTGGTGGTGATGGTGGTGGTGATGGTGGTGATGATGGTGGTGGTGATGGTGGTGATGGTGGTGGTGGTGATGGTGGTGATGGTGGTGGTGGTGATGGTGGTGATGATGGTGGTGATGATGGTGGTGGTGGTGATGGTGGTGGTGATGATGGTGGTGGTGGTGATGGTGGTGGTGATGGTGGTGGTGGTGATGGTGGTGGTGATGGTGGTGGTGTGGTAGTGAAAAGAAATGCCCACGGGATTCTGATATTCACCAGGGGTTAGAACAGCTCTTGTGGGGACAGAGGTTGAGCCACACCCGTCTAATTATGTCCTTACTCATCCTGCACTTTGAGCCCTGGATCCCAGGAAGCTGAATTCCTCAGACTTAAACCCAGCATGATTGGACCTTGACTCTTGAGAGATGTTTCCCAGGAGCTGGGGTGTGTTTTCCTCTCAGCCAATTTCCTCATTCTTGGAATATTGACGGCACCTGCGTGTCTTACTTTTCCTGTCCTTGTGAGAACTTCAGGAGGGATGAACTTACGTGGGCTCTGGACAGAAGGGGATTGTGTTCATCATGACGGAGAAGGCTTGGCAGCATGCATGGTGGGCCGCTGGAGTGGCCCCTGTCTCTGGCAGTGGCCGTGGGGGACAACTTGCCCACACCTCATTGAATGAGAGCACAGAGAGTGTCTGGGGCTAGAAGCAAGGCCAGGCCCTATCACTCTATGTTAGATCCCCAAAGTTCTATGTTCTTCCAGAACAGCACCACCCCCTAGAAACCAAGGTGAAGCATGTGAGAGCATGGAGGAACATTTCATATTCAAACCATAACAAATATCTCTTTCATATTCTGCTACGTGCACCTCCATCTGAACCATAGGTGCTATTTCTTCTTCCTTACATATATGAATTTTTAAACCTAGCTAATCACATGCTTCAGATAACTGCTGTAAACACAACACAGCGTCTTTTCCTGGCATAGAAGGCAAGCCCCCATTAAACTGAGCAACTCAAGTCACTCCGCGAAAGTTCCGCTAAACTCATTGTCGCTCCCTAAGCTTCCCAGCCCAAGTTCTGCAGCATCAGGGTTAAGTGTAGAAGTCAGGCAGGTGGGGACACAGCTCCATGTGTAAAGTACTTGTCGTGAAGAACAAAAGCAGGAGTTGAACCAACCAGAACACAGGTAAACGCCGGGTGGGTGGGGCAGCCCACCTGTAAACCTGGTGCTCAGAAGGTGGGGGCGAGGCATCCCCAGGCAAAGCCAGCCAGTTAGCCTGGCCTGTGTTGGCAAGCTCTGGGCTGTACTGAGAGACTCTGCCTAAATGAGAAAGTCACCATGGAAGGCCCCTGTTGCCACATGCACCCACACACATGTGAACATGCTCACACCCACGTGCACACCAGACACAGACACAGAAAACATCAATAAACAAAAGAGTAGATGGAGGCATAGGTGGCGGGCCTGAGAGAAACAAAGAGTTTCTCAAAATGAAAGAAGTTTAAAAGGGAAGGGGCTTCTCCCGGCACGGTATAGAAATGTGTTCCTGTTTAAACCTGTGCCGTGTCCATCGGGGTGCTATGGCGTTCTGCTCCCCCTGGCATAGACGGCATCATCACTGTGCAGCTTATGCCCACATGCCTAGGGTTGGCACCGCCCACAGTGAGCTGACCATCTACATCCATTAGCGAATAAGAAAATGCCTTACAGACATGGCCACCAGCCAGGCTGATCTGAGCAATTCTTCAACTGAGATTCTCATATCCCAGGTGACATTAGATTTATGTCAAGTTGACAGCTGAGGCTAACAAGGACAACATCTTGGCATCCCCTATATTTTAGGGCAATGCCTTGCACCCCTAATATATACTACAGAGATTTGTCAAATGATGCCTTGAACATAATACCAATCCCAAGGCAATAGGTTTCCCAGAGAAGATGGCAAGTTCATGGTGAGCTCTTACCCTCCCCTGTCCCTGCCCAAGTCTGTGCCTCCTCGTCCTAGGAGTGTAGAACTGTACTCTACAGTGGATTCTCAAGGTCAGGACTTCCTAAGCGTATTCTGGGAAGCCATAGTTGATACCTCTTGGTTAACACTGCCAACTGTGGCAATACAGGATTCCTCTGCCTCAGTTGCCAAGAGCTAGGCTGATGTGGGGTGAGATGGGGAGGGGTGGATGCTGTCTGGGTGGCTGAAGCCAGGTGATGTTGTTACCTGTAGTACACATGTAAGGTGGAGGTGTTGACAGCAACTAATTGGCACTTTACAAGTCGCAACAATACCATCACGTTGTGCCTGATGGGTAGGGCCGGGTGAGCTACACTTCCTGTGGCCCCCAAGAACTGCTGAAAAAGACCGACCTGAACAAGTTGTAGCTGGTAATTACCCATGAGGAAGGGTCAGGGTGGCAAGAGGGAAGGGGCATGCGGAGACTTCTGAGGTCTCATGGTCAGGCCTCATTACCTGTGGATCCATAGTGGGCTGGAGCAAGAAGCCAGATAAGATTCCATTCTGGTGGCCACAACAGCAGCATGGCCCCTAGTTCCACTCAGTTGTATCTATCTAAGCATGCTTTGGTCTTCAAGTCAACCCTAAACACTTTGTCTGACTCCTGAAGAAAAGAGACTCCAGGCCGTTCTTAGGCTGAAATCTATTCAACCTGTCAACTCCAGAACCAGGCCTGTAGCCAATAAGGTTCCCATCTAGAAAGTCCAAGGAGAGGGGGAAGGTTTTCCAAGCAGCAGACATTTTGGCCGCAGTGGAGACTGGGTAACATCTGTGGAAAGGTTTGTCATCAGAGCAGAGGGCAGGGGCCGGGCATCTGGAGATCAGGATGCTTCCAAGCAAGCATCCTGCATTGCGCTGGACCACACTCATCTCTGGCAAAGTAGTGTGTGGCCCACCATGCTAACAGAGAGGTCTGTAAAACCTGGTTGTGGGTACCAAGGTGAGCACATCCTCATGAGGGCCTTGGGAAGGGTGGCTAAGGAGCAGGAACTTCTGGTGTTGTTTTAAGGGCAGCTGTATCTAGTCCCCTCTCCACCCTGCTTCCTCCTTCTCCAAGGTTA